CTGGACGACACCGCTGCATGAGGCCGCTGAACTGTACGGCTGGGCCGCAAATTGTCCACTGATGTGCAAAATTTGTTCTCGCTATCTAATTGGCTATAATCTTCCAATCAAATCATTCGTCAGTCGTGTCATCATCCGGATTATGTTGACGTTTCAAATATGTCGGAAGCATTGTCGGATTCAATTTTGAGGTCGGATTTATCATCCTATGGAAATATACCTCAGTGGTAGTTTAGCATGCGGAAGGTACAGGGATCGATCCCCGCTAGGTGACATCTCCTCTTCAGATAACCTCTATCGTAAACGGCCAATTGTTGCCCTCATTTCGACCCCTTAGCTTTTTGGCCTTATCTCATAGGCTAAGCAAAATTACAAAAATCTGAAGTTATCCAGTTGTAGAGGAAAGAACGCTCTATGTCAGTCGTTCAAATTGCTCGTAATTTGGAGTATTTTTAACGTAGTTATGCCGAAGCAAACACAAAAGTTGTGAAATATGCCGGACCAGTTGTTTGCCCTCTTTAAACTTGACTTCAGTATGGTTTTGAAGGGTGACGAGAGGGTTGGACAATATTTTTAATATGAGCTCAAAACAATTGCCACAGCTAATATACACCTAACCGCACTTACTTTGATAATATCTTACAGGTAATTATATTAAGGAGAAACCATTGGCCAATACCAGTAGCAAAAAAGTTCGCTGAGCCTATGACCCCAAGCTAATCCTTCACCCCTAACACATATAATCCCCTAGCTTTTCGCCAGCTTTAAACTATGACCACCTTGCGCCGGAGGTACCATCGGGCTAAACATTGTCAACTTTCATCGTAACGTTACCGGCCATTGCAATTAACGATGCTGCCGGTGTCTCTCATCTTGATGTAGAGCTTGAGCGTACGGTATGGCATATTGTAGATGCGACCGAGATCTGTTTGTCGCTCTCCTTGCAACGCGCGCTCGGTTGCTTCGACGAGCTGCTCATGAGTGTAGCCCGTCATGAGTGAAATTGCAGATGTGTTTGAATTCCACTCGATAATTTGTGCGAGTTTCGCGCCGAATAGTATTTCAGCCAATCACGGCTGATTCAGTGCCGCATAGGTATTTGATTGGGTATAATTAAAATACTTGACATTGAAAACTGAAAGAGGGCAAGAATTGGTCCGAGGGC